ATCAAGTGCTGTCAGTCTGTCGTTCAACTGTTTTTTCTCCTCGCAAACGGCACCAATCTCTGAATTTTTCGATTCTAACTGCGCCTGCAGTTCGCTGCACCTAAACACGTTGTGGTCACAAGCAGCACTTGCATGAAACGTAGAGGTCGCTCGTGCGGCTCACCTTTCGGCGAGGTCGTTCTTTTCACGACGAATGGCGTCCAGCTGCTCGATAAGGCGGTTCCTTTCCTCGTTGACGGAATTCACCTCATAAGTTTTGTGCTCCAACTCGGCCTCCACCTCGCCGCATCTGAAACCGATGATTTAAATAATCTATGATATAGCGGTTACTCATGCAGAACTGACCTCCATTTGCTCTCGTCCAGCTGCTTGACGACGAATTTCATTTCCTCAACCAAATCGTTTTCCTTGCGGCTAAACGTTGTCGATTCATTGGCTAGGCGCGACGACAGATTTTCGTTCTCTTTCGACTTTTCGGATACTCTGAATTGGCAGAATCAGAGAACAATGCAAATTTCAAACAACCCCAACAGGAATAACAAAATCCCACAATGAAAGAACATGCTTTAGGGCATCAGAAGATTCCACTGTCCTCATCAGTGCTCTAAGTTCTTGGCAGTTCTGATGAGCCCTAGTGAAAAGGAACGAAATGGGCCTTCTAAGAACAATCGCTAATCCCGCGCTTCTCGACAGAGTCCAGAGGTCAGATATCCGAGGAAGCCTTTTGCATACAGCCACTACTCTTCAGGTTGGAAAGTCAGTCACGATCTGCATGTGTTTTGTGAATGCTTCCAGAAAGGAAAGCGAAACAGCTGCACCACGAACTATCGACTGACCAAAGACCCGGGGGCGGCCACGAAAGTCCTGGGGTAAGTGCCTTAACAGACTCTGCTCCAGACTTAGACCATCTTTTACCGAAGCTGTCTTAAACAGCGGTTACGAATCTCTTGGCCGAACCAGCCTTCAAAATCAGTAGCTGTGGTAATTCGGTAATGATGTTCTGAGAAGCAATGACAGCTGTCTAGAAAACGGTACCACCACCATAGGCTGATTCAAAAGTCGATACGACAAAAGAACCAAGAAAACACGTGACGAATAACAGTGCACGTTGGACAATAAGTACGCATCACTGACGCCATATCGTACATACTAAAAGAAATGCAATATGGAATGTATAAATCGACTTGTCTAACTTTTGAACAGAAAATAACGATAAACTTTCACAAATTGTCGTAAAAGTGTTTTTGCCATTAATTTATGAATGAGATACGTTTGTAGAGGGATTTGGACATGGAACTATTTCAAGACTAGGTTTCAGGGCGTATTGTACTACCTCGTTTGGCTTAGTTGCATTGGAAAGCAATTTGGTACTGGTCATACGGTATTTCAGAATTTGCAGTGAGAGATGACCCTCACAACGTTCGTTCGCTAAAGCCACCTCGCGTTAATCAAAAACAATGCTATAGAAGGTGATATCTTCTTTTATGGTACTACATAAATCTAGTTCATAAGTCTGAGTATGTTAAACGGCTCAAATATCCCGCAAAACTCTGCTTCGCGGCATATTGCATGTAGAAACCTAGAGAACTATTTAAGCACCTTAGGACTTCATGAAATTTGATCAACTGCTACGATTTTTATAGGAGGTGATTTCCTAATACTCTTTGATTTAGTGTCAATGAATAACTAAGAATTTTTAACCTTATCGATCTTCCATTACGAACAATAAAACATGTGCATTGTAAGATTTGTAAATCATGTAAAATATCGTGAGAAATGATAACTAGAAACACACTTCTCTTCCTCTTGACGCAGCAGTTGTTTCGTATCGTTCAGTTTCGCTTCAGCATCAGCTAAGGAGGAAGAAAGCTGCCGTAGCTCCGTATTCTTGATCTGCAATGCAGCTTCAAGCTGTTCGATTCTACACAGGGAGCAACATCGGTTAGCATCGCACAACAGAACGAAATTCTACAAGCTGTTTACTTTTCCTTGGATGCATTGCAGTCATTAAGCAGGGCATCTCGGTTTTCTTCCGACGACCTGAAGCAAAATGCAGTTCAAGTTTGAAGCAACTAAAAAGCACTTGATCCTCTACTAAGCCACTGAACCATCATATGTCCATTAAAATATTGTTTCCCTGACGATGTTTCACTGATTTCTCAAAAGAGAATGAACCAGTTTTAAATCATGTCATGATACATTTATTAAACGACTGTCACTTCTTTGTAGATCAGTCATACCTGACCTAAATAATTAAAGTTTAAAAAATTAAGTAGCTACCGCTTGCCTACACTGCCGATGTCCAAACGCCCCAGATCAACTAGCTAGGAGGATGTTGTCATGCTCATCTGCATCTTCCATAACCGCTTATTATTTTGGGTCGCAAAAAGATCTTCTTTATGTTAAGTAATATCCAGGACAGTTGAATGGCAGATCGAGGACAGTAAGCCTGAATTATGTTGCATACTTAGATCGTTTATCCCTCAGAGTTTAAGCCACGGCCATAAGTAGCGGTTCAGGACCATTGGAAAAGGTTGCTATAGCAGCTAGCTTATGATCCAGTGACATAGCTTGAGTTTAAAATGAACGAATGACGAATATAATGTTCAACAACTAGGATGGACTTTCGATGCAGAAAGGCAAGGGTTACTACGGTGAACAATATGTCAATGTCATTGTGACGAACGAAATGCAAAATGTGAATTGTGAACCGCGTGAATTATAAAACAAACGCCGGCATGGTCGGCAAGCTATGAAGAAAGCAGTAATGAGGCAAGTCAGACGAAAGTCACAGTCGATTGACGACCTCATCGAGCTACTGTCATATTCCCAAATTCTGCAAAGACGTAAAGACTGCAACGATCAGAATGTCTTATATCAGGATCACAACAAAAGCTTAATTATCTCAAAAATTACAATTAGCTGGAAGGTCCGTAATGAGCAACAGCGAGGTCGAAAACGGATTCGGCAGCGGTAACCTAGCTGAGGGATTTGCTTTGATATCAATGAGGTTAATTCATCAGCATGAAGGACGTTGTGACCATGATGCGAAAGGTGAGGATAACATTCACATTTACTCTACAGTAAACATTCGATCTACTGATGGAAATGAGATACCATTCACAATATTTTAAGCTGCCATGGAATACTGTAGAAAAAACTACTGGTTGACAAGTTGAAAACAGCCACTTTTACAAATTCAGGATTTCGAAATGTACGAACACTTGCTAGTTATACCGATCTTTGAAATGTGCAACAGAGAAAGGAAAGGGATAGTTTGTATCCATGTTAGGTGTCCTTTTCATGAAGCTAATGGTGGGGCTGGTTTTCATTTCCGTGCCATCAGTCAGGAGTACCGTATTTTTCAAATGGCAGAGGTGACAACAGCTATGTGTCAAGCAATGTGTATCGTCTCCTGTTTCCTTCCCAGGGAGTGGCACTTAAAGAAGAAAGGCTAGTGACTGGACCGAAGCTACAACACACGGAACCTTTCAATTCTCAATCCGGTACTCTAGTGATGGAACAACCTCCGTCTTCTAAGGCAATACAATACCTCGATTATGCTAGTCCTCTTATCACTGATTTGATTACTTGCCATCTCCACGTATCAGCGGGTAGGTAAACGTATGATATCAATACGTGTGATAATCATTCTCAATTTTCATAGCTATCAATGCGCATATTATTTAACAGTGATTTTGTCAACGCCTATCATTCATTTATCGACCTCGCCGAATTATCGATTCCACTACGCTCTGGTCATCGGCTGTAAACTTCCACAAATGATCTCAAATCTGGTCCAGAATCAGAGCCTGACGAACTGAACCACTTTTGCACCACACCGCCATTACAGAGTAAGTACGAAACTGAAGTTGTAGTCATTTAACTTAGTTTTTAGTCAGGTGATTAGCCTTCTTTCAAACGGAGTTCGGTCACTGACGTTTTACTGTAGTGTCGTGAGCCGACCTTTCTGGGCTAACAGAAAGCTTTCACGGCAAGAGGGAAAGAACTTGCACTGTTGTGTATCTTCCCCTCTTCCTGTTGAAGTGAGGACATGGGAGTGGTACAGGAACACGTTCAAGGACAGGTAAACGGTAATTGCCCATTACTCGTCAGAGATATCACTGTAGAAACAAAACTTCAAAATGTAGCCCACTCTTTGAATCCATTGGGCTGAATTAGCGTTTAGAAACACCGACAATTACTCAAGATGGCTGGCATTACGAATGGACCACCGAACAGCCATTCGACTAAAAAAAACTCTCAAAAGCAGAGGAGACTGGAGGAGGGTCGACTTGCGTTCGTGACTCGAACACGAACGAAGGTCGGATGATAACAAAACGATGCTGTTTCCGTGACATGCAGTCGTTGCCACCTTTCATCACCAGTCTACAGTCAAGTTTAGGAACAAGAGTGTCGAAGAAGCCTGAGATGCTACGTCTGCCATGCGGCTGCCAAACGTAGCACAGCTGTTCACCTGACCATGGCACGGCGTACAAAGTGACCTTACTACACATAACATAACTTTCGATGAACGCGAACAGCAAACGGTAACTAAAATTTGCCTCGTATCTGAGGAAAAACTATAAAGACAGCTTGCACATGCTTTACCTTAGACAGCGATTCTTAGTTCTGTTCTTTAATTGCTTCAAGAGGCACATTTTCTCTGCCTGCAGTGCGAACAATACCTCTTCCTTGGGTCTGAAGTCAGGTTCAAGCCTAATGTTTCGCCGCTATAATACCACCAAAGCTATTGCACAAATAGCGTTTACTTGTGCAGGGCTAATTTATAGTTTCTGCGGCATTCCGCCATTTGTCTGGACGCCCCAGCTTGGACAAAGATTCCGTCGACGACGTCTTCGATCATTTCTATGACGTGCATACGGTATTTCACTGGCACCTCAGACCTCAACAGACGCTAACTCGTACTCTCAGATACTTTTCACGAAATTCGCTCGTTTAGAAAAAAACAGGACCTTAACCTCCTCCCAACCCATAAAAACAAATTACATCAGGCGGAGTACATAAGGATCCAAGTGAACCCTGAAATTAAGTACCCAGATCCAGATCCAGATCCACAACAGCAAGCTAATAAGAAACTAAATAACTCAATGAGTCATAGATTAGACGAAATGCCTTAGGCTTTGAACTGTGTTCTGAATTGATTATAAGGGCATTTTCAACACCTGCATCGTCTGCGAAAAGAATTAAGCTGAGTGATACTTTGAAGGGCTTGAACGAGTACCACTGCGGATGTTCGCTCATTTTTTGGCTTAATATTTTATATCTTTACAGTAAACATAGTGCAGTGTAAAAAGGATACTGCAAGAAGTATAAAAAGCTAAAATATATCATGTTTGACTTCTTAGTTTATATTCAGATGATTTTT